GACATACAGGACATACAGGACATGGTGTGTCTCCATAGGTTTACTTCTGTTTGGTGACGCATAGCAGCCATAATTCTCTCCGGTACCATGTAGTACTATTCTCTATATAGTTTGGACGATGAGATAATAGAAGAGTAAACTGATGAGGAGCAAGAACATGCACAACCATCAGGTCAGTGAAACACAAAGAATTCCCGAGCCCTTGAGAGAAGCCCACCAAACGTTCTGGCCTACGGGTGATAGCCTGCATGACGTACATACGGCATGCAGTGCATACGGTCATAAGTGTACAGTGGTTTACGCATAACAGTCAGAATATTACTACATCTCCCCTTTTAAGGCGCGCAGCAAAAAGGAGAGAGAGAGAGAGAGAGAGAGAGAGATAGCAATTATTATTATTATTATTATGCTCTATTCGCGTTAGCATCAGTGAGCTTATAAAGCTCACATATAGCCTTCGCTTAAGCCGCAAGAAGGAGCAAGTGAGCGCGAGGAAGCGCAATGCACACAGAGCGTCAAAACAAAACAAAAAACAAAAAACAGAAAAAAAAGACACAGAGCGTCAAAACAAAACAAAAAACAAAAAAACAGAAAAAAGAGACAAGCTGCAAGAAGGAGCAAGTGAATGCGAGGAAGCACAGTGCACATCAAGCATCACAATCACAAAAAAGACAAGATGGAAACGCAAAGTTATGTCCATTGTTGCATTAGCGGCTACATACAACCTTCACCAGGTCCTGCCACTGAGGGCGATCCTGGGCGAGCTGCTGCAGCCTGTTGCAGTCATCTCCATTATCTATATAATTATAAAGGTATAAATTATGTCCATTGTTTCATTAGCAGCTACATACAGCCTTCACCAGTTCCCGCCACTGTCGACGGTCTTGGGCAAGCTGCTGCAGCATGTTCAAGTCATCGCCAGTCTCTAGGGCGGTATTATTTTTCAGCTTTTTGAGATCATTATTGAGCGTTCGCGGGAGCGTTGTTCTTGGGCGTCCCCTAAAGCTGGGGCCGTTACCCCCTAAGAAGTAAGCTCCCATGGCACGTCTGGCTGGGGCTGCCTCTTCCAAACGCAGCACATGACCAAACAGCCTCCATCTAGCATCTCTGATGATTTGGCTCACGGGGCGAGATTCTGTGCGTTTATACAGGGAAGTGTTTTTTATTTTGAGCGGGTATTTAATGCCTATCACTGTTCGCAGCTGCTGCCTGTGGAACGAGTCCAATTTCCGCTCCTGTGTCCCCGTGAGACTCCACGTGCCACAGTTATAAAGCAGGATTGGTAGAATGAAGCTATTATAGAGGCGCACTCGTAGAGACTCTCTGATGTGTTGCCCTCTCAGCCATATCACCCACATCCGGTGAAGTGCGCTTGTAGCCAACCGCTTTCGTCTGCCTATGTCCTCATCCACTCCAAGCATCGAGCCCAGCTTTATTGTGTGTCGCCACTGTTCCTCTATTCGATCCTTTTGTCTGCTTATCATGGTGTGTTCCGTCTTCCCCTCATTCATCTTCAAGTTCCACTCTGCTAACGAAGAGGATATTGTAGGAAGGCAATCTTTTAGATACTTTTGGTCGGTACTGATGAAGTCCACATCATCTGCATATTCCGACTCTCCGGGCAGAAGCAGCTGGACGTCTCGGTCTGGTCGCGGCGGTAGACGGTTTCGTACTTCTCTTAACGCAGCTTCCAGGTATATCGTAAACAATACCGGCGACAGAGAATCTCCCTGTGGAGTCCCATTGTATGTTTCAAGTGGCTGGCTCAGGATGTTGTTTAGCCGTACTTTAATGGTGGTATCCGTAAGTAAGCACTGAATAAGATGTAATTCGTCCCGGTTCACAATAGTCTCCAGCACGTTCATGAGCTTTGGTCTTGAAATAGTGTCAAAGGCTTTCGACATATCAATTCCCAAAATGGCGATATCTTCCTTTACTCTTTGGCATCTTGCTGCCAACCATCTGTAGGAGTACACAGCATCCGCTGTACTTCTCCCGCTGCGAAATCCGCTCTGGCAGGGCGAGAGGTATTGATCAACTGCCGGCTTAATACGCGTCAATACGATTAGAGACAGTAGCTTGCGTAGTGTATTTAGAAGGGTAACTGGCCGCAAATTTGCAGGAGGACCTCTCTTCTTGCCCGGTTTCGGCAACGGGACCAATATACCATCACCAAGCTGGATGCGTTGATCTTTAGCGTAATTATTGAATAATGTGGCTATGTTGCCATGCAGTGATTGCGTCCCATACTTCAGGAGCTCAGCCGGGATTCCATCGGGGCCGGATGCTCTGCCGTTATTTAAACGTTTTGCAGCCTTGGACACCTCCTCAGTCGTTATGGATCGGTTCAGTGGCATTTCACTCCTCTCCAACATAGTTGTTGCTAGTGCCTGGTCGCAGAATATAGTTCTGAAGTGTTCCTTGACCGCTTCCACCGATTCCGCAGGTTGAGATATAATTTTGCCTTCAGCATCCTCAACGATAACCGGTGATTGTTTCTGACGACGGAGTAGCTGGGTTGCTTTGAACATCTTTGCGTCATTCTTTATTCTTCCTATTTCTCCCACTCGTTCATCAAGCCTGCTCGATGCCATCTTGAGGCATTCCCGCCGAATCTGGTGTGAAATGCGATTGCGTTCTTGCTTCATCTCAGAAATCTTCCCAGCGTCTTTGCAGTTAGTGAGATCCAAACGTAACTTGCGTTTTTTCTCGGCTAGCTGTTCAATGGCATTGTTATAGCCATTTGTATGTACTTTTCTTCTTTTTGGTACTATGCCAATGGATGATGCAGCTGACTCCTTCATAATGCCGGTGATCTTCCGGGAATGCTCCTCAACACCCATGTTGTCCATCTCACGGCATGTCAATTCCAGACCCCGCTCGATTGCCGCTTGGTATGCCTCCCTCTTGCTCAAGTCACTGAATTCAGATACACTGAATTTGTCATTGGTCTCCCTTGATATGCATGGCGCATTCAATTTCTTGTAAAGATTGGTCAGGTTGACTTTAGCGAGGACAAGGCGGTGGTCACTCTCCATCTTTGTCCCCGCATATGACCTCGCATCTTCCACCACAGAACGCTCACTATTCCGACAGAATATATAATCGATCTGGTTGTATATGGGTATTGCTGAACCACCGTCTGGGTTGTGACGCCATCCTGTCCATGTTGTGATATGTGCCGCACGGTGTTGGAATGCAGTGTTGCAAGCAAACAGGTGGTTGTCCGACGCAAAGTCAGTCAGAACCTGTCCACTGTAATTGCGGCGGCCTCTTGAGTGTGCTCCGCAGCACGACAAATCATGTCTCCCCGTAGCTGTAACGGAACGTTTTCCAACTTTTGCATTGAAATCACCTATCACGAAAAGCATGGCTGATGATCGAAGCTTCTGAATTGTCTCCAATAAACTGTTGTAGAATTCATCCAGACAGGCAGGGTCCTCCGCAACGCGTCCAGATGTTGGTGCATAAACGTTGATAAACGAGCACAAAGTTCTATCGGACAGCCATAGCTGCAGCACAGCGATCCGGTCAGAGATACTCCAGTATCTGTGAATTCGGGGCAGTAAACTTATTTTTACGGCGAATCCAAGTCCATAGTGTCGAGAGGTCGACGAAAGACACAGGAGTCGATAATTATCAATAATTCCATCGAAGCCCTGAGTGATTTTCGTCTCTTGCAGGCAGCAGAGTTCAGCTCCATATCTTGTTAGGTCACAAATAAGTTAATTTTTTTAAAAATTTGAATTTAGTCCACGAACATTGAAAGTTCCGACGTGAAACAAGCTACTCTTGTTTCTACGACTGCTACTCAGAATACTGCGGGTCCTCAAACCCACCTGCTCATTAGCGAAAGACATAGGCCATAGGGTTCAAGAACAGAACCACCATGGCTGAGAGGCGTCACTCTCTCATCCAAACAAAAAAAAAAGAGATAGCAAAGCAGGAAAAAAGCTAAAGACAAAAGAGTGGCGCAAAATGGCTAATAGAATCTGTCAAGACTGTGCCATGTGAAGAGAAAAAGAGTCTGAGAGACATTATGCAAGTATCCTGGCAAACAATCTCAAAAAATATTCGAGTTCAGCATATCTGATGGGTGTGTGAACAGCACGTCCAGAATGGGTGATTCTACCTGAACCATTAGGAACGGACACACCCACTTCGGACTTGGCCGGCTTAATGAGTCTGTAGGGCAGCGCTCTAGCGAAGTTGTCCTTGGTGTCTTTCAGCACTATTACTTTTTTAATGCTTCTGACTTAGCCAGTACATACATGGCAAGATTTAGACCCTCTGTGATCTTCTTTGCCTCGCTGCTGACTTCATCGTATGCTTGCTCAGGCGCGATCATAGAGTTTTGTTGCTATTGTCTTTCATCAGCTTGCTGTATTGCTACTTTGCTACTTACTACAGGGTTTGGGTTTTATCGGCTTTCACGATGATTTCCTGAACTGGAATTGCAATATTATGAATGGCTATATGTTAACCTTTACACACTGGCCATATTTTTGATTCTGGTTATCAGATTTCCATAACCTTGGCCTGTCTAGAAAGACCCTTCACTCTGCACAGAGAACAATGAGCCCAATATCAACACCACACTTGTCACATATCAAATACCGCAGCACCTCGAATAGTCCATCGAGCTGAATATACCAGCAAATTCCCTCGATGCCAGCCATTTCACACTCATTCATAGCAGAATGCTCCAATCGTGCAACGCTCCATTGTAGCCTATTGGCAATTGTTGCATTGGAGAGCTGCGCTGCTCTTCTTCTTTCCTGGTATTTTGATTGTGAACTTTCGTCAAGAACGGTAGAAGTGGTGAGCATTTCAGTGCAAGCAACTACATCAACCAAAAACAGATGATTTTGTATGGTCTTGTATCAGAGGGTTAAGCTATCTTCTCCACGCCGCTTTTTTATACATTATTCCCTGCAGACAATCTTCATTGCTTGCTCTGTTGTGTGGTTTCATGTTTGTCTTTTACCCGATTTACGCAGACTGCATCTCCACTGGAAGAATCTATGGGTGCTTCTGCAGGCCTCGTTACCACTATACTCGACACTGTGAGAAGTGTGTCAACTGCCGTACGGGATCTCTCCACATCTCAGCAGCAACTAGGTACCAGGTTGGAGAATCTCCAGCAGGAGGTCTCTGCTGAAGCTCGCACAACCAACGACAAGATGGATGAAATACAACTGGAAGCCCGGACTGCCTATGAACAAGTGGCACAGCTGAGCGACACAATGGCGAGAGGTAAATCATTTGCTGTCAACATTTCTGCTGAAATGATGTAAACGCTCCGATGTAGTGTCATCATAAAGCAGGGAATGTTGGTTGAAACACTAGTGGGGAAATGGCCGTAAATACATGCCTGCCCACACAACCCTATCTAAAAATGGGAAATTCTGGCACCAGGGTTTCTTCTCTCTCTACAAAGATCTGCTTTTAGGTTTGTCACATCGCATGTAAAGAAGTCAAAAATTGCCCGTTGGGTGATCTATCGTCGACAGAGCGAAGACCTACAGCAACATCACAAACAGGTCCCCGCTCAAGTTACCCCCCAGTATAGCCTTCCATTCACCCGCACTTGGCGCCTCCCACCCACCAGAACCAACTGTTGTGCAGACTCCCCACTGTACAAGTCTCTATAATACTATTGTAGTGACAGACTCCCCACTGTACAAGTCCCTATAATACTATTGTAGTGACAGACTCCCCACTGTACAAGTCCCTATAATACTATTGTAGTGACAGACTCCCCACTGTACAAGTCCCTATAATACTATTGTAGTGACAGACTCCCCACTGTACAAGTCCCTATAATACTATTGTAGTGACAGACTCCCCACTGTACAAGTCCCTATAATACTATTGTAGTGACAGACTCCCCACTGTACAAGTCCCTATAATACTATTGTTAGGTTCGGTAGACAAGAGACAAGTAGTTTATTGGTTAGAATATACGAAGTAGAAAAACTGACAAGATTCAATCTGTAAACGACAGAGAAGACCTTCAAAGATATGCGTGCGTGCATACACAGTAGAGCTAAAGTTGTACGGCATTACGTCATAACATAACACGCCCCTTCGAAGATAAAATTCCATGGGTGTCAGCCGGACACAAAATAACAAACACAGTAACATAATTATTATACTCTCACGCCCCTTCTGAGATAAAACCTGGTTTTGTCTCAACAAAAATAAATAAATAAAGTCATAACAGACGAGATGAAATGACATAGGCATGATGTCAAGATGAGACCAAATGCTACAGACAAACATTGTCACACATATGACTGTCCAGACGTAGATGTAATGGTGAGACGATCAGGTGTCTTGCGAATACGAGTGCTACGACGAACAGGCTGGGTAGCGGCGTCAGTAGGTACACGTACGGATGAAGTTGGGGAAGGGGTATAACTAGCGGAGTCAACACACGGGGGAACATACGGACGGAGAAAGCGGCGATTACGCCAGAGGACACGGCCACTGGGCATCTTGACGAAGTAGTCGCGCCGACTGCCAATTGCTACAATGACGCCACGCATGGACCACAGCTTGGTCTGGTGGTGCTGAACATCAACATGGGTGCCAATCCGTAGAGAATGGAGAGAGCGTGCCGATTTGTCATAATGTGTTTTCGGATCTACAGAGTCCACAGCTTCAGCAGACGCAATCCAGTGTCGATCAAAGCTGGCACGGTGGGCGAACACAAACGACTGGAGGGACTGACCGAACAACACTTGGGCGGGGCTGCTGCCATTAGGGCGGGGAGTATTGCGCCACTCCAACAGTCCGCGTTGGAAGGAGTCTACATCCAGATCTCCATTCCGGGTCGTCTTCTCAATGAGCAGTTTCACTGCTTTCACTGCTGATTCCGCGTGGCCATTGGATTGAGGGTAGTGTGGGGTGGAAAAGCACTGTTCCACACCCCAACGCTCACAGAACTCACGTACACGGGAAGCGGCAAACTGCGGGCCTCCATCAGTGAATATCTTGCGCGGTACGCCAACATCTGCGAACCAACGGCGGAAGTGACAAATGATGTCATGGGAGGTAGCGGTACGGCCAATTCGAGCTACACACGGCCAGCCGGACAGACGGTCAGAATATACCAGGAACTGCCAGCCTTGACAGGAGAAGAGATCTGCGCTGGCATACTTGAATGGAAATGTCGGCTGTGGCTCGCGCATCAATGGCTCCTTCTGCTGCGAACGTTGGAGCTCACGACAGACAGGGCAGGCACGGATCAGGGCTGTGATGTCATCACTCATCCTCGGCCAGTAAACCACTTGACGCGCACGACGCTTGGTACGTTCCAGGCCCTGGTGAGACGAATGCAGGTCAGTCAGTACACGGCGTTGTAGAGACTGGGGCACAACAAGACGAGAGCCACGGAGGACAATGCCGTTATCCAGGGTGAGGTGCTCACGGCCATTCCAATACGGAGCGAGAGCAGGTGGCATGTGACGTCTGGCAGAAGGGAAGCCGTCACGAATATATGAGACTAACTGCACGTAATCAACGTCAGACTGAGCGGCATCGCGGAGCTCGTGGAACGGAAGACCAAATAGTGCTGATCCGGAGTCATCCTGCTGAAGGCATGCACGGATGGCTTGTCCAGATAGCGAGTCGGCTTCTCCCAGGAGATCATCGGCAACCGGGTTCTGCACTGGAGCACGCGACAAGGCGTCAGCAAAGGCATGCTCAGAACCCTTGCGCCACGAGACGTCGAATTGATAGAGTTGTACCTTGGTCATCAGACGATTCTCAACCTGGTCCAGTGTGTATGTGTTCAATATTGGAACAAGGGGCTGATGGTCAACAACTACATGAAACGACATGCCAGCAAGATAGGTGTGGCATTTTCGGATGGCCCAGGCGACACCCAACATCTCCAGTTCGATCATTGCGTACCGGGATTCAGTGTCGGTGATGAATCTGCTGCCGCACTGAATGAGGCGCAACGAATTATTCTGGTACTGCCAGAGGCCAAATCCGAGACCCTTGGTCCTAGCTGCATCACACTCGAGACGTGTCTGTGCTGACGGGTCGAAGAAGGCCAATAACGGTGGGTCAACAAGTGCTTGCTTCACAGCGTCCATAGCGACTGTGTGCTCGGGTAGCCAGAGAAACTCATTCTTGGCTTTCAGCAGACCGCGGAGAGGCGCTGCGTGTTCGGCGATGGTTGAGCTGAAATCACTGCACTGGTTGACGAGACCCATGAATGATCGCAAGTCAGTGCGATTGGCAGGGATCTCGAAGTCGGTGATAGCGCGGGTCTTTTCCTGGTCTGTCTTCCAGCCGGACTTGTTTATCACGTAGCCGCAGAAATTGATCTCGGTCTCGGCGAAAGCAAACTTCTTGGCTGACAGGGTGATACCATACCGACGAGCGCGTTGAAGAACTTCACGAGTTCGTTCCAGGTGCTGCTCAAAGGAATCAGTGAAGACCAGGCAGTCATCCACGACCTTGGAGAATTGCTCAATACCAGCGAATGCTGCATCGGTCCGCTGGTTGAATTCGTCGCCAGCAGAAATCAGACCTTGTGGGTTCCGCAGGTACTGATATCTGCCCCACTGTGTGATAAATGTGGTCAAGCTTCTGGACTCCTCGTCCAAGGGGACCTGCCAGTAGCCGTGGCGAGCATCCAGCTTGGTAAAATACTGGGCATTACCAAGGTTAGAAACAACATCGCGAGGTGCGCGCATGGGATGCGCGGGCCGGGCGACTTGCTTGTTAAGCTTAGTGAAATCCACCGTCATCCGGACTTCTGCAGTGCCTTTCTTTTCGGCTATGACGATGGGGTGACACCACTCCGTTGGCTCTGAGACCGGTGCGATGATGCCATCTGCGACCATCTTGTCCAGCTGGAGTTTCACCTGGTCACGATAGGCGTAAGGTAACCAACGGGCATTGTTCAACTTGAACGGCTGGGCGTCAGGCGCGAGTTGGATGTGCATCGGCTGACCGTCCATGGGTCGGAGCGTGTCCTCTGCAAATACGTCAGCGAACTCGTCGAGGAGGTCCTGGCGGATACGTACACGCTGGTCTGGTGTAGGGTTGCTGTGCTCTGCAGAACGGGATGTCCCTTGTGTCACTGAAGCGATCTGTGGCCAGTTAGGCGGCAAGAAACCTAACGCCTTGAGCGAGGAGCGCGACAGCAATGCGCTACTGAGTTCGTCATACACATGTAGACGAGTGGTGTGCGTGACATCACGAGCGACAACCCTGGCGGGAACAGTTCCCAAGCTGGTCAATGGCTCACCGTTCACGGCGACAACCTGGTCGGGGTCAGGTTCCAGATCAGCTACACTGCCACCAAGTCTGCGGAGATGACTAGCACCAATAGCATCAACATCCGAGCCAGTATCTGGCAACCACTCTAACGTGCACGACCGGTCGTTGTCGTCAAGACGTGTTGACAGCATCACTTTGTCACCAGCCTGCACTGCGTGAATGGTGAGGCATGCGATGGTCTTGCGGCACATTGCCGCGAAGTGATCCCTGCCCTTACACTTACGGCACTCTTTGCCCTTGGCAGGACACATTGACTTCGTGTGCTGGGATCGTCCGCACTGCGAGCACTTCGCCGGCTTGTCAGCTGCAGCAGATTTCGGCTTACTAACCAAAGCGGATTTGCTGCGTTGATACGATGACCTTGTTGCGGCATTCACGGATGCCGGTACCATGCCGTCACCGGTCTGCTGTGCGGCTTCTTCAGCCCTGCAGATCTTGGCCGCGGTTTCCAAGGTGAGGGACAGAGCTGCCAGGAGCTTATGGCGCGTGTCGTCGTTGGCTATGCCAACTACGATGCGGTCTCGCATCATGTCGTCCGTCACCTTGCGGAGGCTCTGGGGACAAGTACTGCATAGCTGAGGTGTACACGTACTGCACAGCTCCATATCAGGGAAATCGCACTGTGCAAACAGCTCCCTCATTGCAGTAAAGAAGGAGTCAAATGACTCATTGCGCTGCTGCTTTCTATCGTAAAACG